AGACGAATAACCATTCGTCTGAAGAGGAACTCGTATTGAGTTTTAAACGTTACGGTATTGTTTCATTACTTATTGCGGTTCTTTTCCTTTTCATGCACGCACACACACACACACAAACACACACACACACACACACATATATATGCATATATATATATATATATATATATATATATATATATATATATATATATATATATATATATATATTACATATAGCGTTTTTGAATGTTGGGGCACATAAAATTTGTTCCACAGATGAGTGTTGTATTTCTGACAATTTAAGACATGTTTATTTCAGCTGAATTGTTTAACTGTAATGTTGGACACAATGTGATATCTGATCAGATACCATTTGTCGCAGTGTTACTTAACTTTTTTTTAGAATCACCGAATCCTTTAAAAATCTGATAAAAGCTATGGACCCCCTTCCCGAGAATTTTCACATAAATACAACTTTTCATACAATATGTGTATGTGTATTTATTGGAATTTGATTGTCGTATTCATATGTGAGATACGCAACGTATCATTAAACTTTAAAGTAAGCTATCTAAACAAACCACACTAATATATTCATTTTTTATTTGATTCTTACGGACCCCCTGAAACTGCGGTCTATGGATCCCAGGTTAAGAACCTCTGACCTATCAGATAACGAACAGAGCTCACTGTAGAAAGAGAAACAGCTTTCTGTAGGGAGTTTGAAAAAAATATGTGTCACTGCCTTAAGTATATAAGAGTTTTTTCTCATATTCCTTGGGGCAAAAATGGTCTGTAACCTTATTATATTACAGTAGCTACTATATGTGCAAGATACTGGAATATGGTAAGGTGTAGATACTACGCGGTATTCACGAAAGGTTCGAAGACTGTTCTTTGCGAGAACTATTATGATTTGCACCGTGCCACTTATCAGAGTTAATGCTGGTAATAGAACAAGCATTTACATCCATATAGACTCTGGGAAGATAACTGATTGTAATAATAAATTAAAAGTACATAACGCAATAAACCTTACTTCTGTAATGTAATGACATTACACACTTATTCAACTAAATTTTGGGCAACCATAGGTTTATTGACATTGCATCAGCTGTGAGGCCGTGCGGCGCCATTTGTATTTTCGAATAGAAAATTACTATAAATGTGTAGAAAACGGATCAGTTAATGATTGCCAATATAGCAGAATGGGCCTCCAAAGTGTATTTGCCATTACTGATGTGTAATTATCATCATACGTCTCTGACTTGGCAAATTTGTCTATGACTCCCCACAAAAATGTCTTGAGCCGTTTTTGTTTAAGACTCGGCCGAAGTTTAACGGGAGGTGTGGGAATGTCCCATCCGCGTTAGAACTGTCTTTGAAACTACAAAGCATTTACACAAATATAAAGATAATTCTGCATCGAATAGGATAGAAAAAAATTGGATGGCGCTTTTGATTTATTGTCAAAGATTAATTTAGTAATTTCCTATATTTTGCAGAGATTTTCTATACAAGCCCGTAAAGACTTCCTTTAGTTTTGTTCTAACGTGTAAAAACTATTTTTAATTTCTCTTAATGTAAATTTTCCTCTGTTGAAGATTATTCCGGTTTGGAGATAAGAAAAGCTTCGAAGCCTTTTTTGACAAATTATCTAACGTTAATTAAGCCTTCTCCAACATTTTATTGCTGTATTTTATTTTTTAAATACAAATAGCGGCGCTAAGAATGTCACATCACATTTAGTGATTTAATGACATATTTATCTTATCGTCTTAATACAATCGGTTATCAAAATAGGGTCTATAACTATATAAATGTGAGTTTTATAACTAGGATTAACATTGAGATGTGTCATCGGGACAAATCATCAAAATAAAAAATCGCAAACAACAGCCTTTTAGTCCTTTCGCGAATGTCGCCCGTAAGTTCCACAAGTATGTAAAAAAAAAAGTGTACTTCCCATCCCAAATCGAAAAAAGAGAAACGATCGTGCTACCTTACAAAAAAAACATCTCTTATTTTACAGTAAACACTCAATAACAGTTATTATATACTTAGATAAATTCCATTGCAAAATACCGAGAAAATTAGCTTTCGATTAATGGTGTGGTTAAGAAGGCATCAGGGGAAATGTACAAGCCAATAAAAAACCACAGACGTAAACTCACAGTGCGGGAGGAACTTGTTTTTGAACTGTTTTTCTATCTGAATCAGCAGGAACGAATTTTTAAACGTCTTTTAACGAAATGGAATAAATTACATTGCGAAACTAATAGCACTGACGATAACCTGCACGTTACAAAACAGGCAATAAACGAACTCTGAAATAATAAATAATAAATAATAAAGACAAGGATAAATAAAATGCAAATGCAAGTCCGAAGTCACCATACCAAGGGTTTCGAAATTAGAATACCCGAGGAATTTCAGGGAGTACGAAAATTATTTTTTCTTGACTCTTGACTCCGTGGGGCGGATATACCCACTTCATGGAAAATAGTTGAGCGATATGTGAGTCTGTTCCACGTCTTTGAGTTTTGACATCCACAACTGGATATGTTCCCGAGACATGTGAAAAGTATTGTCTCTTCATTCCATTTGCAACGATAAAGTTGAGTAAATCTCATTTCCGTTTTAACTTTTCTAACAAGACAAAATCTTGAAATCGTCTGAATCCATTGGTGGTCGTATGGATTGCAATAAGCAAGAAAGTGTAACACTTTAATAATGCCAGAAATGAGAGTTCCTTGAATTGTATGTTAACGGCGTAGGCTGATTTCAATACTTACTTTTTACTCAATTTATATTTGCATTATATACACTGATAAATACTCACTTCCACAGGTGTATCTAGAGCAAGAAATTTTGAATATTTAAAATGTCTACTACCATACTTTTTCAGAATTTAGTAACTCAATCATTCATTATTTCGAATTTTAGATTAACCAAAATACAGATAAGTAAAATAGTATATCCAATATATTCAAGTAAGAGAAAACAAAAACTTTTTATTGAACTCATAAAAAACGTAAAACTTAGAGGGGAGCATTTTCTTTTACATATCAAGCATAACCATAACTGAATGAATATGGTAAAAACCTACTGTTCTGCAAAAAGCAAGAGAACAAACAGTTCGAAACAAGAAAACTTACTAATGATAATCTTTAACCCAGTCTATTTAAAAAATCAAACACTTACTATGTGGATGTTACTATGCATTGAAGAGTAATAGGAGTTCCACAGTTTATGAACACTATCGGTCTCGTTCACACAGAATCGGGACGTTCACTTATCGCGTTCTCCCTCTAGCAATGGCTGTTATTTCTGCACTTATTCCTACTATTTCACTTGACCTATACCGTCACGTGCATCACGTTATTCATAATCGCTTCATTTATTGTTTATTCGCACTTCAATTTCCTTCAGGATCAAAATCAGTATCAAAAGCGTTTTTTTCAATCCTCTGAGGATACAAACAAAGCACATGTGAAGACGAGACATTATGAACAACACTAAGGTAATGAAAATGAATGCGTATGTATGCGTCACTGACAATGGGTCCAGCTAACGAGTTCGCCGCATATTGGTGGCACCGGCAATTGACGTATAATTAAAAGCAGTAGATCTGTTAGAATGCCGAGTGATTCCCTTTCTTTACTATGTTCTTGCAGTTCTCGCAAATATTATATAACAATGATTATAAATGAATAAATAAAGAGAGGGGAGAAGGAACTTATATTACTGGAATATGATGTTATGGTAGCTCCCACTAGGGGATTTACGTCGCCCTTGAGGCAGTCTAGGACTTGGTCTTGGGTTGGCAAACAAACAAACACATACATATATCTATATTCATTTAGTCATTAAAGTCTTTAGCTATTGTAATTATAAAGAGAGAACGTATGGATTTGGAATATTCACAATTTGTAAACTGAAAATGCAAAACTTTGTCCTCGTTATTTTTTGTTTGTTGTTTTAGCAGCCTTTATGTGAGTATTGCTCTTATTAGAGTAAAATCCAATGCAGCACATAAGTAAATTTACCATTAGTTTTTCATGATAGTATATACTCTGAATTAAGCCATCCATATTATCAAATAAATTTATTTATTTGTGATATACATATGGTTCTTTGTTGTTCATAGAGATGTTTTGGTTCTGCACTGCATGTTGGGTGGGGTGGAGGCTAAATAAGGGTGGATTATGAGCTAAGTGAATATTAGCCTAAAAGGTCTGGAACCACTGATTTAAATGTTCATCTATTTAAAGACTGAAGGCCCAATATACACTTCAGTAATTGAACACTAGTGCCCTTGAGGCCAGGAGACATGAAAGTAATAGGTACATTCTCAACTCATATTACATGATTTCAGCATATTAACGCATTGCCGATGGGCATGGCATGTACGTACATGCCATGCCCACTGTGAGTTTACTTGTTTATTTTTACATAGATGGCTACACTTGTACTAAGTCACCAGTGAGCCTGTTCACCCTTTTCATTAATTTACGAAAATATTTTGTTATCTTATTTTGCTGTTACATATGTTTATAATATTATAGTAATTATAATGTTTATAATATAGTAATTATAATGTTTATAATAAAAATAACACCGTCAATATTTGTAGCACAATTTATAGCACTAGTAGAAAATCTGTTTTTCTTGACAATTCCAGGAAAGGTGATATCAGGTAAGGTCTCAAGATCTACTAATTGACTCCTTTGTGGCTAAGCACTAGCACTAGCCATCTATGTACAGACATTTCACAAAAGTATAAAAAATGAGCACAGCATTTTCCCCATTTTTTACTAATTTTCCCTGGCGGCAATGGTTCTAGTTTAAAAATCTTAATTTTTGATTATTACATTCTAATATTTTGGTATATCTGGCATACTGATATATAATTTAGTAACTTATTTTATATTACTGTTTTGTCTACAGTTAGATAGGAATTAGAAAACAATATAAATATAATTTTCAAGTATTTCCAAAAGGTTGAATAAAATACATTTTCAACATCATAGCCACTTTTTATTAGTTAATTCTAAGCAATGGTCAAATATTAAGAATAGAATAAGGAGCAAACAACCTGACCTTGATTTTTCCACTTCAAACCAAAGGTACAACTCAAATTGCAGCAAGTTAGGAGAGTACTCAAAAGTTAGCTAACTGCCTTCTTACATAATAGCCACAAATAAGAAATAAGGCATCCATGTAATTAAATGACAAGCGAGACATAACAACTGGAAAACAGGTTCATAAAAACTATATCTATAGCAATATGTGACTTTGATATAACTTTATGAATTATGATATGTACACATATGGTCACTTGAGTCAGCAATAAAGGCTGATTTAAAAATTTGAAGAACTGCTCTAATCAATTTGAACAAGAGCCCTTTACTACAATACAAACTTTTAAGAATAAGAACTAAAAAGAAATTAAAATCAAAATTGGCATAGAATAATGACACTTCAACTTCAAAACTGGGGTATCACATTGAGGGTATTCTTCTTTGCACCATTGACACATGACTACAACGCTTATACTTGTTTTATATGTAAGCTGAGAATTGGTAATTTTTATTCTTTATATAATACATATCTATACATTTCATTTGCCTAACACGTACTTCAAAACCGAATCCTGTCTTTTGATTCAGGCATACACTGCTAGTTATATATTATATTTAGTAAATATTAACATAAAAATGGGTCATATGTAGTCATGAAATATACCCAGTTTAACAGAAAAATTTCACTTATCCTCTGAGTTGTGCATAAGCAAAATGAGCAGCAAACCCGCTAGTCTCCCTCTCATCCTTGAGGTGATGTACACAATAATCTACCAAGGTCGTATAAAAACTGATATGGATGTAAGAGAGATGATGTGAGAGAACCTAGCATGTCATCTGCCTCAAACAATTAACATTACAAATATCCTAATTGCCCAAGTAAAAATTTCCAACTGCAGGATGTGGAGCATTGAACATCTTCACTGCTGCCAAGATAAGAGCTGCTAGCTGATGCTGCTGCTGTCTACACCCTGCCACAGGCGAGGGGTTGAGCTGCACAGCAGGAGTTACACAGCCTTCTCTTCTTCAGTGTCTGAGGCTTCAGATCTTTCCTCCTCATCGCTAGGCAAGTCGCTCGCCCCCTCGTGGGTCATTGTGGCCACCAGAGTGCCAACCGCTTTCCCCAGGTCGCCTGTGGAAAACAATGATTTTGTTTTATATGGGGTTTACTGGCTGGGGAAGAAGTGTCCTCTTTTCAAGGTATTATCATGAAGACAGAATATGAAAGAATGTGTAATGTAAATGTAAGTAAAGATTAATAAAAGATGAAATAGCTTTCATAGCTTTTAATAGCAAGGCAGTAACATAACCAACAAGAAAAATATATATATTTATGAGAGGAACTATATTCATATACATTTTCAGCTCAGAAAGCTTTGCAATTAGTGGATCTGATAATGAAGAATACCGAACAGCACCAAAATTATTTTGTCTTTTTCACGGATTATAAATAGCTATTAATATGATAAGGCAAGTCGGAAAGGATGCACATTAAAAATGTTTATTAACTTTAAATGGAAACTGAAATAAGGCAAATAAATTAGAAACACATATATCTAAAACTAAACTAATAAACAAAAAAACTAGTGAATGTACTCAAATAGATAGTACAGACAGCTTATATGCAAAATAACAAGATAAAAGGGAATGTGTAAAAACAATAAAAAACTAAATTTGAAAATAATGTAATTCAGATTTTGTGTATCTTACTGTAAAGAAACTAAAAGTATTGCAAATATAAACTACTATCATTAAATCTGATAACAAAAATGAAACAAAGTTTTTTTTTTTCTAAAGACACAAGATTTGACCAAAAAAGAAAAAAGGAAAAAAGAAAAGAAAAAAAGTGGTGTCCATTCATATACTTTACAAGCTATACAAAATACCCCATATTTATTCTCATTTCTCATTTTAAGAAATGTACATTCCATTATGGTGCATTCAAAATGTATTTCAGTTATTTTGAAATGGCATGTGTGTTATTCTAATTTCATATAAACACAAAGGAATATACTGGTCACACAGTTTAGTCAGTTGAAGTCCATCATGTATACAAATGGTACAGTATTTTGAAAACCACCATCTTTGTACATATGGATCAGATGCACAATCTCCTTGCTTTGAATCACAATCATGTTTTGTTTGGAAGAAAATACAGCAACATCAGGTAATGTTCCATATATAAAACAAATTATTCAGCTTATCATTTGAGTTTATGCTCCTCATACACAGTTGTTTATATACTTCCATTAAATATTCAGTATAATAATGTCTATAAATAATGAAAATACAATTATATTTCAAAACTCAAGGTAAAATCAATAACTCATCTAAAGTATTATGATGTTATGAAAAACTTTGGTTAAAAGTGAAACCTTCAAAATTTTAGATTATATTAAACACAATTTTATATCTAATAATCAAGTAATTAAATTGTATTTGCCTGTGGTTGTCTTATAACATCCTCAATAATAAAGATTCACATTAATTTTTCAAAACATTATGAGAAAAACATTGTTACATGATTAAATGAACTCACCATCCAGAACCTCTGTATGGAGCTGCATGAAAAGAAATATGAAAAATGTAAATAAAGGTCACAGACCAACTTGTGTGAGATAAATTATCTGTCAGTACAACCCATCTAACAAGTATTCATAATCTGCTTAATTATCTATTTCTACAATGCAAGGCATACATTTTTTTATCATAACAATAAATAAATCTATGACTAAATATGTGAAAGTTAGACCACTTATCAGGCAGCAATTTTTGGATACCACAAAACTGTTAACAGTATAAAAGACAACTTGTAAATTTACAAATTTTTAACATGCGATTCAAGTGTTAGCTTTCATGCCCAAGACATTTTGAGTTTGGAAGCAGGAATTAATTTAACAGTTAAGTGTAAGGTTAGACAGTATGTGATTACATATTTGGTGCATAACATCATGAGGTTGGGAATAATATGTGTGAGGATATAGGGACATGGTTCTTCAACATAAACACTCTACATCCTGTGTCTCCTGCTGGATGATATGAGCATTTGCAGTACACAGAAACATCTGTGTCATACATATACAATATAACATCTTTCAAATATGAAACCCTACACGTTGCATAACATTCACTACGAATCAATTCAGGTCATGCAGTGGTGCCAATTGTACCTGCACGTGAGAAGAGGTTGCCCACATGAGCAACACTGCCCATTGGGGGTGGTGGCGGTCGTACATATTCGCTCATTTGGTCTAACCCTTCGTAAGCACTGCTGGCACCCCCTGTGCCACCGCAGCAGATAGAGAGAGTCCAACACCAAGTTAGATGATATACCAAAGCTCCAGTAATGAAGTTGTAACAAGACCCCATATGTAAAAGTAGTCCTGATACCCTTACTTTAAAAATATGATTAAAGAGAATTGTATCTAAAAATATGTTTATCCTGTCCTACAGATCTATCACTTAAAATGAATGATAATAAAATCATAATGAAAATAATGGTACTAAGAATTATATGCAAATCATGCTTTGTGAGCACATTCTTACCTTGGTTAGAATGTCCATTGACTTTGGCAGGAGAATCCATGGCCAGTTGACTAGCAGTGACTGACTTGGTCTGTAGAGTTCCTGACTTGTTTGGTGAGCTCATTCCACCAGGCTGAAAAATGCAAAAAATTAATAGTTATTCTCAAAATGTATAGTCATTGTCACATACGGGTAGTTTAAAAATACTCATAACACAGCACCCTGACACACTACTCTATTTGTAAATGAAAAAATAACTATCAACCAACCTCGCCTAACAACTGTCGTAGTCGATGAAGCTGTGCCTCTAGTTGCCTATTGTGTTCTTCCAGGATACCCATTCGAGCTTCTAGTCGTCCCTTGTGTTGACGGAGCAACTTAGCCTCTGCCAACATGTCTGCTTCAGAACGCTGTCCTGAGAGGCCATCATCAGGCGGGGAACCTACAGGCTGTTGTGACTTCAAACGATCATACTCAGCCTGAAGCTGACTATTTTCTTCCTCGAGGGCCCTATTGGAAAGGAAAAATTAAATTGGAAATGTGAATGAACATATTTCAGTATACAAATGTATCATGTAAAAACAAATATGGAGATCATGGATAAACATGAAAAGTATTTGAGACATACCTGATCATTTGTTCAAGTTCATCCTTCTGCTCAGCATCAACAGCTGCCATGATCTGCAGGGGTGAGCGTGGTACCGGCAGTGGAGCATCCGAAGAACTTAGTGACTGGCAGTACTGGGCAATAAGCCCATGTTCGTCCTCGCTAAGAGAGGAGACAAGAGATCTATGAAATATTAGTAACACAGCTTTTAAAAAAAGGGACAAACATTTTAAACAAATCATATGCAGAATATACCAGTATATCAAGCTTAAAAGAAAACTAGAAGCTACAGACAAAATAAAGTAAAATAAAAACACTAAAATATAGACTACTGAACCAAAACATATGCTCCAACCTGTCAGGAGTAGAGTTAGAATTTGTTCGCAATTCCACTTCAGCCAAGCGAGAAGCATAGAGCTCAAGTCTTGAGTGCATGTCCTGGCTAGTGACGTTATGCTGTGGGGACGGTGATGGGGATTCTAAAGGATCTCCCTGCAAGAACAATATATGTTATCATATGATAAAAGAAAACAATGTAAAAAGATAACAATTATATATGTACTGTATATAATCTGTCAAAAGCTTGCTTTATAACTAGAATAATTAGGCAAGAGCCATGTTAATACATAATATCATTTTATCCCCTATACTGAATTCAATTTTTTTACTATCCCTTCAAAACAGTTTTAATCTTCAATTCTGTTGTGTTAAAGTACAAAAGGAATTAAGAAAAAAAAATCAAAGACTATTATAATTTCTCAAAATGCAAACAGAATCCTATTTCACTTTGTATGCAGGTGCATGTACTGTCCACTGTAGTTTTTTGCAACTCCACAAGTGCTCAGCCAGAAAGGAGTCAATAAATAGACCAATGTGACCTGACTTCCCCATTCTTTGGATTTAATTGTTCTTTTATTTAATGCTACTAAAATTGATATTGATTATTATCGCCGACATTATGACTACGATAATCTTATCAAAATGCAAATAACAATAAAATAAACAAAAAGATAAGACAAGGTCAGAAAAAACAACAACTTGTATATATGCATAAACACTATAAATAACTTAAATTCCCAGTGGACATGGCATGTATGTCATGCCAACCCAGCACATAGGATTAACATCTTTAATCTCTTTGATGCTTACCTCTAGTACAGTCTGCACTGGTAAGTATCCCTTCTTTGTGTGCTTTTGCAAAGCACGTTTTGACTTGAATTTATTCTTCAAAGCTTTTGTGAAGTCCTTGACATCTTCACCAGCTGTTGTCTATAAAAGAAAGTAAAAATAATATTCACAGTAAAAAATTATTTACAATTTTCAGTGTTGTTAGATATGACAAAACTTAAGAACAAAATATATAGGAACAATAATATGAGAAAAAAATAAAATATAATAAAATCACATGAGATAGAGTATGATGAAACTCTTCAGACCATTCAATTTTGCTATTAAACATGTACAATTCTTAATACTTACAGCTGTACAATACTCATGCATGGGGTGAGTGATCTTGTGGCTCTTCCCACTGCGACCATCAAAGAAACACCTCTGACACATGTCAAAGCTGAGGCACTTGAGGCAACGGTAGCGCAGGCCTACAATTGGATAAGCCTTACAGATGTTGCACTTCACCTGAAAATGAGGAAGAAATTTTGACTTTCATGTTATGATTTTTCTTTTGTTTATGAAAATAAAATATGTTTGCAATAATTAGGGATTATGTTATACAATAAATATATACATATGGATACTTCAAATATGCTTTAACTATAAAATAGATATTAACCTGATGCTGAATGTTCTCAGAGGCAGCTACTCGGTGCAAAACAGCTAACCACACAAGGGACTGTGGTTCTTGCTGTACCCATGTTAGGAAGTGTACAGCCTGAAAAAGAGAATACATTTATTACATTACTGAATATGTATTATATTACAATATGATACTAGTATAGTATATTATACTTACATTTAAATTATAAATATGCATATAAATACACAATATAAAACAAAATGAGAATATAATCCAATGTCAAAGATAAAAGGACCTTAATGTGTTTTCAGATCTCTGTAATCTTCCACAATTACCTCAATTGTTTCTCTATCCTTGCCAGCCTTGGTAAAGCAGCTACGAACAGATGGCTCGATGTTTGATCCACCAAAGGCTGCAACCTCTCCCAGTTGCCGAGGAACTTGCACACAGTCATGCAGGAGGAGCCCAAGTTTCCTTTGATCCACTAAACGGTTAGGATCAGCAATCAATCGGAACATATCTGTAGATACAAAAATGTGATTATTATGATACATTTTGGTCAGATTTTTTCCTTTTTTAACAGATTTCCATTATTATCATATACTAATATTCATAAGAATATAACATACAGGAAAATTTAAACTTACATCTATATTTTTCCTCTAGATGTCCTCTGCAGAGGCAAACAATTCCTATCTTGAATGAGAGAACTCGCATTTGCCCTGTCCTCTGGCTATCGTAAACATTGAGTAACCAGTTGAGACACAAGTCCATGGCCAGAGTGGTGTTGACTTCTGGATGGTCCGCAGATATATTGGCATACAAGGCCGAGAGCACCACCACCATGTCACCTACATCAATCAGCCGATCATTCTGGCCTCTTAAACCATGCTCATCAAATACATCTGTTGCCATTTGCATTTTAGCACGATCCACTGTTGGGTAATAAGATATGCACTGATTAATACTGCAAAAAGTATGATAACAAAAATAATATCACTTTACTTAATATGGCAGGACTTACAAAAGTACTAGACAAGTACTTACAAGCTAGAGTCTTCTGCAGCATTCGCAGCTTTGTTGCTGTGCGGTAAGCTGAGAATTTGATATGATTAAACTCTGTCAGGGAATCTAGCAAGTCCATCATGGTAGGATGATCCCAGTGGGTGCTCTCCTGGTCATGGCTGAAAAAGAGATAATATTTTAAATTTGTCAGACGACAGCATATATCAAGGAATAATTCGGACATGTGACCCTTTTCTAATAACACAAAATGTTATATATTTATTGCACCTGAAATACCAAAAGCCAAACTCTGTACAGCATATTTAAACTAAGAAACATTTTCAAAATCTGTAGTAACAAGAGAAGATATCCTTACTTGATGTAATAAGGCACTTTGTTGCTAGTGGTTGCCCTCTCCCAAGGTGGGGACACTGATGACGCCAGCTGGGCAGGAGTGAGTGGCGTGACCTCCCTTGACCTGCCAGCCACCTGTCGCCACCTGTCATTAACTGTTGTCTCCAATGTCTTCCATCTAAGGCAAAGGGAGGGTGACACTGTTAGTCAAGCTTTGGGGGTGGAATTTAAATATCTGTTAGAGGTTTTCAGGATAAAACTCTCAAAAATCTCACTTTTGATTAGCATTCAGTTATGATGAATTTCTAACATGTATCCATATTCATATGAGATATATCATCCCCCTTTTATGGTAGTTTTACAAACCATGCCCTGCAATATCATGCATATCTAACTGCAATCAAAAATAAGTAAAAATCTTGATCAAAATATGTCATAAATAACATATTTCTCATTTGTACAAAATGTATTTATAACAAAAACTACTTAAAATACTAATAAAATACTTATAAATATTTCTTTAAGTATGATTTTTTAATTATTAAGATTAATGAGTTGCTAATCCATGTTAAATGTGAGAAGATACTTCCATGAATAAACTCAATTCCTGGATTGAAAACTACACATAACCATGCATAACAGATGCTGCTTTCCTACCTATTATTGAGGTCGTGCAGTTTGGCAGAGTTTGCAGGGGTGAGTGGCACATTGTGGGCTGAGAAGCGGGCTGCTTGGTCGTTGACATCATCGACACCACGTTGCAGTTCTGCTAATCCTTCACGGAATTTCTGAAACGATTTAGCAAGATGTCAGGCCCTAGAATATAATAACGATGTAGATCTTACATGCACCAATAGAAACAGGAAAGGTCGGACTTTGATTTAGATGTACTTATAAAATAAACAAAATGTTCAAACATCCTTCAAGAAAAATATTATTTCCGTCGTGATGAGACGCTTCACTAAACTTTAATTTTCACTGCTTGCGTGATTGCTATAGATTAGTTCCATTAAATGAAAAAGACAGCACTCCAAAAAATCCGCTGACCGTGAAGTTAAATATCTTCGTGAATTTTCTTGACTTAAATGGTATACACAACAAGATGTTTCTGTATACGCATTTAAATGGCAATTAAAATATGTAGAAGGCATAAGTTCTGTTCCTTACCCTGACGTTGTGGACGTGTTGGTCAGCGAGGTTAGGATCTTGAGGAACTGCGCCCCAGGTGTCTACTGTCTTCTGCGCTTCCTCCAGACGTCCGCTCACCTCCTCCACTGTCTTCTGCAGCACACCTAGCTTCTGCAAGTGAAAGTAAGAGTATTTAGTACTCATATTTTACGACTGAAATTGAAAAGCTGTGCTTACAACAGCTACTATCATTAGCTACAAAACATAGTTCTAAGGAGTCCATGTTCACCATTCAGATGCAGTCACGAAACATAACACAAGAGCGAAATGCACTTCGCGGAATTTCCTCGACGACCAGAGCGAGCGTCACACAGTGATAGCAGTGAGTGCGACGCTTTGTGGCGGAAGCGAACCCAGGCACCAAGCACCCTGCTCGGTGCCCCACTCAGGCACTCCTCCTACGTGCCTCCTACATGTCAGTCCTTCTTGTTAACATCCTGCCTTCTCCTCCATCAACAGCACTGTCCTACACTCCCATCTCATTACATCCATTCAAAGATAACGACGACAATAAACAACTACTGGTGTTTTTCAAAAGAATAATCTCTATGAGTTAACTCTCAACATAAGTGTCAGGATGAATTAGGCTAACTGTAAACCATTTATACTTTATTCTTTTAGCTGTCGGGAAATGGCCGGTTCTAGAACGCCCCTCATGCAGTTTGCAAATCACGGCGAGCAGTTCGCCAATAAACGGGTGGCAATGCAGTCCTCGTCGTTGCTCTAGGTCCTTAACATGCAAACCATGGCATCCTTCCGGGGCATCAGTATGCTAAACGCGCGTTAAGACGGTCGCCGTCGCCACTCTGCCCGAGCCGAGGGTCTATGCTCTAATCTGGCAACACAGTAACCTCTATAACCGAGATAACACTTTCTTCGTCCCTTTGCTTCTCGGAAAAGGCCTGCCCCTTTCCCCTTAGTCCTCTTGACTTCTGCCAGAGAACGAGAGTCGAGCAAAACACCGCTAAGCATCCAAGCAAAGAGATCCTCATTTCAACAGGGCTGACGCGGAGCAGACCGCAACTCGACCCTTCCCTGGAGGCAACCGCGCATCATCCACACAATCCAGCGACAACCCGATCTTGTTGCAAGCCAATAGTTGCATAATAAATAATCCAACAGTGAAAACAATGACGCCAAAAAACGACGCCTGAAAAGTGAAAAATGACGACTGGCAAACACATAAAGGCAACCACGTGGCCTCTTCTCTGCGTCCACTTTTTACTCTTACTCACTCATTTCCATAAACTGAATCTTTTACCTAACATAGACATTAATGTTGGTAGGTCAGTGCCTCCCTTGGGTAAGTGGAAGAGCGCACGAAAGAGGCCAGGGCACCGAGATTAGGCAATCTTTCCCCTCGTGACAACTCCCCTCTGCCTCCCCTCCCCTCGCCCTCCGCCTTCTCTCTCCACCGCCCTCGACACCACAACCTCCACACAGCTCGTTTCTAAAGCTAGATCATTTGCTTAATTTTCTCTTCCCGTCCATTTCAGTTTCCT